ATGTGCCTCAACTACGAGGTGCGAGTGCTCTGCTGTCGTCTTCCTGAAGACTGCCAAATCACCACACGGGCCTCGCTGTCCAGCACCCCAGGTGACTCTGTCACCAGCTCATCTCCTGGCATGACATCTGTGCATACAGCAGTCAGTACATCCATGTCCCCAACCAGGACAACCACTGTGGAGACAACCAGTACCACCTCCACACCGCAAACCAGCTCAGTCTCTGTGCAGACAGCCAGCACACTATCCATATCTAAATCCAGACAAACCTCTTGGCAACCATCCAGCACCCCTTCCAAACCCCAAAGCAGAGTAACACCTATAGGAAAATCTGTCACAACCACTGGGCAGACAGTCAGCACCAGGTCCACCAGGCGCCCCTCTAGACCCCGGACTACGCAGACAACCAGCATCACGACCACCAGGCGCCCCTCTAGACCCCGGACTACGCAGACAACCAGCATCACGACCACCAGGCGCCCCTCTAGACCCCGGACTACGCAGACAACCAGCATCACGACCACCAGGCGCCCCTCTAGACCCCGGACTACACAGACAACCAGCATCACGACCACCAGGCGCCCTTCTAGAACCCCATCTGTGCAGGTAGTCAGCACCACGACCATCAGGCGCCCCTCCAGAACCCAGTCTTCGCAGACAGCCAGCACCATGTCCCCCAGGGGCATGAGAACCACTTATGGGCAGACAGTCAGCACAACATTCATGGAAAAAACCAGCGCTTTCTCTGTGCCTGGAACCACAGCCACCTCTGCTCCTCTCAGCACCACAGGCCCCGGGCCTCATTCTGGGACGACTTCCTCCACAGTGGCCACCCACTGCCAGCTACAGTGCAACTGGACCAAGTGGTTTGACACTGACTTCCCGGTGCCCGGGCCACATGGAGGGGACCTGGAAACCTACAGCAACATCCTGAGGACGGGAGAGAAGATCTGTCATCAGCCAGAGGAGATCACACAGCTGGAGTGCAGGGCTGAGAACCACCCTGAGGTGAGGGTGGAGGACCTGGGTCAGGTGGTGCAGTGTGACCCCACTATTGGCCTGGTGTGCAGGAACCGGGACCAGCAGGACATGTCTGGGATGTGCCTCAACTACGAGGTTCGAGTGCTGTGCTGTCGTCTTCCTGAAGGCTGCCCTGTGACCTATGGGACTCCTCCTGTGACATCATCTCACAAGCCTTCATTTCCAGTTGTGTCCACCCCATCTGTGCCGTCAACCTCATTGTCCAGCCCTAGGGTACACTCTGCCCTCCCTTGTTTGTGCAACGTCTCAGGCCGTCTATACTCTATTGGTAAGTGAGATATCTTTTTGCAGTTTCCTAAGGCCCTCTCTTCCCTGATTTTCTTCCATGAAAGTCCTTGGGTTTGGTTGATGGTGCCACAATTGCCTTCAAACATTTCTAGTCTCATCTCTCTTTCTTTGCATGGGAAGTCTTGAAGTTGGCAACCCACTATATCAGGAGCAGATTTTTCTCCCAGGGCCTCCCAAACTCTGCATACCTCTTGATCTTGCAGGATCGATCATCTACAACCAGACAGATCTTGATGGCCACTGTTACTATGCATTGTGCAGCCAGGACTGCCAGGTGGTTAGAGGGGTTAGTCAGGACTGCCCCTCCACCATGCCACCGCCTACCCCTGCTGCTTCCACCTCTGCGTCTACCATCACACCTGTCACTGCGTGGGATAGGTGCAATGTGTTTCCTCCAAAAATGGTAAGTCTATCTGCCATACTTGCTGGAGACTCATGGCCACTGTGGAGACCTTGATGTATTTGCAATTATACCTCAGCTTAAGTTCTCATGAAGATCGCCAGCCCCTGGTTGATACAGGATGAGTTTGGGGCTGGGCTTTTTTATGGCTTTGTATGTCTGGTCCTCCAGCACTGCATTGATAGTTGGGTAGTTGGGTGTCAGGGATGAAATTTCCCCCAATGAGAGTGAAGGTGGCAGAGGTGATGTAAACCCATGGATATAGTGGCACACGGAAGGGGGTGACATTCAGCAGTGGGACATTTGCACATTGTGAACCCTTGTAGCCACTTCCACACTTTGGCAGGGAAGAGGTGAGGACAGGGGCTGGAATGGGGGTACAGAAGCCTGGGAACTGAGGTGATAGGTGATACTATGGCCTAGGACTCAGACCCACAGCTGACTTTGTTTCTGCAGAAAGGGGAGACCTGGCCCATGCCTAATTGCTCCCAAGCCACCTGTGAGGGCAACAATGTCATTTCCCTGAGCCCACGCCAGTGCCCAGAGGTGAAGGCACCATCTTGTGCCAACGGCTACCCACCCCTGAAGGTGGATGACCAGGACAGTTGCTGCCAGCACTACCAATGCCAGTGTGAGTGGGGATATGGTTCATCAGGGGGAGGCATGGCAGAGGAGGATAGAATGAGGTGGACACCAGGAAAGACTTTCCCTCATCAAGTCAGAGATGGGGATGCTATGTGGAAAGAACAGCCCTGGAGTCATAGAGCCTAGTGGGAGAAGAGCAGGGTCTGCTGTGCCTCAGAATCCCAGCAGCTTATGCAGGACCTGCCAGCCAGAGTCTGAAGGGACTGTCCATATGTGTCTCAAGAGTTCCTTATTTGGAAACAGCGGGGGAGGGGTTGGACCACCTGATGAGAGCCAGTCTCTAAGGTAAGCTCCCTGTACCCATAGGTGTCTGCAGCGGCTGGGGTGATCCCCACTACATCACGTTTGACGGCACCTACTACACTTTTCTTGATAACTGCACATACGTGCTGGTGCAACAGATCGTGCCTGTGTTTGGACACTTCCGTGTGCTCATTGACAACTACTTCTGTGACCTGGGAGACAGTGTTTCCTGCCCACAGTCCATCATTGTGGAGTACCACCAGGACCGTGTGGTGCTGACCCGCAGGCCAGTTGGCGGGATCATGACCAACCAGGTGAATATGCCTGTGTGTGTGTGTGTGTGTGTGTGTGTGTGTGTGTGTGTAGGGGTTGTGGCAGGCTTGGTCTGAGTTGCGGACCCTAACTCTAAACTTCCTACTACCATCTGTATTCAGATCATCTTCAACGACAAGGTAGTCAGTCCTGGATTCCAGCAGAATGGCATTGTTGTGTCCCGTGTGGGTATCAAGATGTATGTCACCATCCAGGAGATTGGCGTCCAGGTCATGTTCTCAGGCCTCATCTTCTCTGTCGAGGTGCCCTTCAACCTCTTTGCCAACAACACAGAGGGCCAATGTGGTAAGCTCTACTCTGGATATTCTTTGGGTATTAGGAGCAGCCTCTCCATGGGCCTAGAGGGGTTTCTGATTGTGCACACATGTGGTTCACATCTGCCTGTTCCATGATGGTTTCTCTCTGTACACTGGGAACCAAGCTGGCTTCTAGGGAAGCCAGGTTCACAGGAGAGGATGTGAGACAACGTGCCAATTCTGACCCTCAGCATGAGTGCACTGGGCACAGCTTTCTGCTCAGCTGTCTGACCCTTGTTTCACCTGCAGGCACTTGCACCAATGACAAGAAGGATGACTGCCGCCTGCCTGGAGGGGCAATGACCTCTTGTTCTGATATGGCCCCCCACTGGAAGGTGCCCAACCAGCCTTCATGCCAAGGGCCTCCTCCAACATCAATTTCAGTGGTACCCAGTCCTTCACCGACCCCATGCCCACCGTCACCAATCTGTCAGCTCATCCTAAGCAAGTAAGATTCCAGAAGGTGGGGGTAGCCTTGCTGGTTCCATCTGCCAGAAGATACCAGGTCCTCAAAAGACTCCTAAGAAAAATGGGATCAGTCTTGTTCTAGGATCTGGGCACTGTCTCTAGGGATCTTGTCAGAGAGTGGTCGCTGCTGGAATGTTACTGCAGGGCTGGTGGTGGCCAGGTTGGCTCATCTCTGGAGTCCTCTGCCAGTTCCTCTCACTGATATGAGCATCAGTCACTGTCTGCACCTGTGCAGGACGAAGGGTTGCAGAGTAAGGGAGGCTGAGGGGAGAGACATTTGCAGGAAGTGGTGCTCTGGCTGATACCTTTCCTGGTATGCACACATATGCAGATGATGCCCTTGGCTTAGATGACAGGCTCACAGTCATTGTCCATGACCTCACCTCCAAGGGGATCTCACAGATCTGAAAGCCCCCACTGTGAGTGGTAACCTGAGTAGAACAGACACCACCGCGTCTGTATTTTTCCTCCCACAGAGTCTTCCAGTCCTGCCACGACATTGTCCCTCCACTACCATTCTATAAAGGATGCTTATTTGACTACTGCCATGGGTTGGGCTTGGAGGTGGTGTGCTCAGGCCTAGAGCTCTATGCATCACTCTGTGCGGCCAAAGGCCGGTGCATCCCCTGGAGAAGCCAGACCAACAACTCCTGTCGTGAGTGCCCAGCCAGGCCACCTTCCTGTCCTCTGTTATGAGAATTTAGAGGTGCTAGGCAGATAGTCTGGGAAAGGGCACAAAACCTCAAGGCTAGTCTTCCCTGGAGGGAAAAACTCCAGGCTTTGGGAAAGAGGGATTATCCAAATTGAGGTATCTGTAGATTTAGGGCCTGGGCTGTCAGCTGTCTTGGACCAGCAATAGAGCTAAGGGCCTGGGGGAGGGGGCCAGGTTGTAGATAGCTAGTGAAGGCTTCTGAGTAGGTGTCAGCACTCAGCAGTGGCTGGGGTTTGGAGGATCCCAGAAGTGGGGCCTTGAAATGGTTTCTCACGGGTGCCTCTCTTTCCACACAGCATTCACCTGCCCTGATAACAAAGTATACCAGCCATGTGGCCCAACCAACCCTCACTACTGCTATGGGAATGATGACATCAGCACCAGCTTGTAAGTGTCAGCACTCTGCTCACAGGGCTGAAAAACCCTGGGTATCCAGTCCTAGCACTTGGCTTTCCTAGGCTGGGTTCTTTCTTACTTGAGGGTGAAGGACCCACCAATTCTCTGTTTCTCACAGAACCCTTCAAGAAGCTGGCCCCTTCACAGAGGGCTGCTTCTGTCCAGATGACACCACACTTTTCAGTACTAATGATTCAATCTGCGTGCCTTCCTGCCAATGTATGTCCCCACTGGCATGGGGTTGGGGGTTTGAAGGGGCAGATTGCGGCTTGACCCCAGATCCCACTATGGTGCCCAATATGGGTCTTATTCCTGCCCCATCCCTGTGGCCATCCCCAAGTGACAGGACCTCTCTCTACAGGGTGCCTGGGTCCTCATGGAGAACCTGTAGAGGTAGGTATGAATGGTGGTGGTTCCTGGGGGGCCAAAGCACTGAGACAAAAACAGTGCAGGGTTTGGTGGGGTGGGTTTTTTTGTTTTGTTTTGTTTTTAGTATGCCAAAGGCCAGATGAAGGCAGGAAGAGTGCCGGTGTCCTAACAGGATCTGAGAAGGTCTTGCTCTCTGGAGATGCCCTGCCTTTGTTCTGGAGCTGCTGGGCATCTCATGAGGGCTGGTTAGGCCTGTTCTTCCTGGCACTCTTTCTTTCCTCAAGAGACATGTGATGGGGTGGAGGGAAAGCCCTTCTCCCATGTCTGCACCTGGACTTCAGTGCATCAGGCCTTCCCTCCTGAAGCCCTCTAACCCAGGCTTGCTGCACAAGTGGCTCTCAGCACATGTGGCTGCAGCTGTCCTTGGGCTGAACAGCTCACTCACAGGTCAAGTTCATGTATCATTTCCCTACAGCCGGGCCACACCATCAGCTTCAACTGCCAGGACTGCATCTGCAAGGAGGGCACGCTGACCTGCCAAAGGAAGAGCTGTCCCCAGACCACCTGCCTGGAGCCTGGCTTTGTGCCGGTGCCTGAAGCCCTGGAGGCTGGCCAGTGTTGTCCCCGGTTCAGCTGTGGTGAGCCTTTGCTACTGTCCTCATACCCGTAGGTAGGACTATCTCCTGAGGAGCCATAGGTATATTGGGCCAGCAGCCAGCTCTGCTCTGCACACATGGTCCCAGGAGGAAGGGAGTAGAAGCTATCCCTTCCCAAGCTCTGCACATTGCTTGAGTATAGGGACCCTCCTGTGTCCTGATATGGCAATGTCCTAGCAGGTGATCTTTAGGTGTGTGTGTGTGGTAGAGCTTCCCCTGACCAGCCTGACCAGAGCCTGCTCCTGCAGTCCTGGGAACTGTCATGATGTCATGTGGTGGGGTAGATCCTTGGAGCAGAAAAGAAGCAGATACAGGGCAAGCCCAGTCCCTGACAGCTTTCTCTACCCACAGTTTGCAACTCCAGCCACTGCCCTCCTCCTCTGCACTGCCCAAACAATTCTAGCCTGATGGTCACATACAAGGAGGGAGCTTGCTGTCCAAGCCAAAACTGCATCGGTAAGTATCCCTGATCCTTGCACCAAGCCACACTGGGGCCTAGAACTTCTCAGGGGACAAATCAGAAGCTACTGATGGCTGGAGATGGGCTGTTGCTTGGCATGGAGCCCTTGGTGGGAAGGAAGTCTGAGGTGCTCCAGCGTCTAACAGCAGAACATACTGATGTAAGAGTCAGGCTGTGCCCTTGCAAGGCCAAGGCTATAGCCAGTATGTCTCTTGGACAGGTCGGAAGGGCTGTGAATTCAACGGGACCCTCTATCAGGTAGGAACCACTGGTGCTCAGGCCTTATGGCCTACAAGGACTGAGCTTCCCATTTGGGGATCTCCACCATCCCTTTGGAGCTCAGGTGGTGATCTGAGAAGCTGAGGAGTTCTTAAGTCACTGTAGACCCTGGCACAGAGCTCCTGCCCAGACCAACAACAGGAGACTCTGTGGATGTAGCTCAGGGCAGTGCAGTTAAGGTTGGCGCCAGTATCCGTGAAGCTGCCAGTACCTGGTGTCTGGGCCCATCAGGATTCTAGCAGCTCTCTGCTCCCTGAAATCATACTGGGTATGCCAGTACCTCATTTCTCCCAGCTGAGCTTTCCCCACACTAATTCCCAAGTGTGTAGTATCTTGGGTCCTGCTAGGACATTGCCATATCAGGACACAGGAGGGTCCCTATACTCAAGCAATGTGCAGAGCTTGGGAAGGGATAGCTTCTACTCCCTTCCTCCTGGGACCATGTGTGCAGAGCAGAGCTTGACATAGAGACATAGTATCTACAGCTCTGCCCTGGGACAGCACCTTAACTATGGTCTCTTTACCATAAGGTAACACTAAGGATCATCTCCTTAGTGATGGGTTAGCTTGGTGGGCAGCCAGGGCAACTGGTCAATCAGAGTATAGGGCAGGTGTCTTCCCAGCTTGAGTCCACTAATGCCCAGCCCTGTCTCTTCCCAGCCTGGTGATGTGGTCTCCTCCAGCCTATGTGAAACATGCTTGTGTCAGGCGCCCAGCAATCCCCATTCAGATGTTTTTGTGATCAGCTGTGAGACGGAGCTCTGCAACACCCTATGCCCTACGGTGAGCACTGGCCCCATGCCTGCTCTCATCGCACTGTGCTGATGGCCTGAACTCAGGCAGCATACCATTCTTCCTGCAGGGCTTTGAGTACCAGGATGAACCAGGACAGTGTTGTGGCCGGTGTGTGCAGAAGGGCTGCACCTTTAAAAACAGCAACAGCTCTGTCTACTACTACCCTGTAAGTACCTGAGACTGTGCTAGGTGACCTCAGAAAGGGGACTAGATGATAGGAACAGCAGACCACAGGCTCTGCAAAGCCACCATACTCCTCAAGGAACCACTCAAAACCCCAGGCCCAGGTATAGAAAGCATGAAGAAGACAGCATTTGAACTGAACAAACAGGGTCCTGGGATCCTGGACTCTGAGTGGCCTAAATGCTGGAGGCTCAGGGGTGATCAGGCAGGGTCCTGGGGACTCCAGGTTGAATATGCAGGGTCCTGGAACTTCAGGGGCACTTGAGAAGCCATTTCTGGCCAACATAGGCCTTGCCTATGCCACTGTCTCCCTGGAAGATGATAGTCTGTGGGGAGACAGAGATTGGGCACTCACTAAGCAAGCTGTGCCTCCTTTCAGCCTGGTGAGTCCTGGCCAGAACCTGGGGACCCCTGTGTGACTCATAAGTGTGAGAAGCTCCAAGATGTATTCATAGTTGTGACAACGAAGAGGGAGTGCCCCAAGATCAACTGTCCACAGGTAAGTTTGGGCTTTCCCACTCCAGCTAAGGAGGCAGCTCACTTGGAGATGAGGGGGAGGCCAGTGTTGCACAGCCATCAGGCTTATCCCCTTCCCACTATGAGGCATTTGGCCTCGTGTCTCATTCCTCCATTTCTGGATGCCTCATTGCCCCTGACATTCACAATGGCCCATTGTTGGCACAGGGCCAGGTTCAGCTGAGAGAAGATGGTTGCTGCCATGACTGTCTCATCACCCAGCAGAGTAAGTGGGGGCTTGACAAGGAAGGGATTGATCCCAGCCTGGGGCACCCAGGAAATGACTGAGCAGACACCGACCCTCTGCCTCACTTCCTTTCCTCCCAGAATGCACGGTTCATCAAAGACAGCAGATCATCCATCAGCAGAACTGCAGCTCCGAGGGACCAGTGAGCCTCTCCTACTGCCAGGGCAACTGCGGGGACAGCACATCCATGTACGAGCCCCAGGGAGCCTCAGGCAACAGTGTTCAGAGATGCAATCGGCAGTGGGGTGGGGTGGGCTCGGGTGATGTAGGGTTCGTGATACACTCAGGTCCAAAAGCAGAGCAGGAGGGGCAGAACCAGGAGGGTAAGAAAGAGGGTGCAAGGGTACTGGAGGAGACTGTTACCATAACTTGAGCATGCCAAGGTGGCATCAGCAGGGTCCCAAGGCTCTTGGGCTATAGTGACTACTTTGGAAGCAGGATTTCTGTTTGGGGAAGTATCATCTCAGAGGTACAAACCCCAGTCCCACAGCAATGACCTGCTGTGCATCTGGTTGCAGACTTAGGACACCTGGTGGCCAAGGGCAGCTGTGGCAGAAACATTTGCCCCAGGGCAATTGGCAAGTGAGAGCAGTAGGGTTTTGAACACAGGGTGACAAAGACCTCAGGAGCTTGGCACTGTGCCCACTGGACGCAGAGCCTGTGGCAGGCGTAGGCAGCTCCTGGCTGGGCTGGGTACTGAGCAGATCTACCCACAGGTACTCCCTGGAGGCCAACACAGTGGAGCATAAGTGTGAGTGCTGCCAGGAGCTGCAAACCTCACAGAGGAATGTGACTCTACACTGTGATGATGGCTCAAGTCGCACCTACAGCTACACCCAGGTTGAAAAGTGTGGCTGCCTGGGCCAGCGGTGCCATGCTCTAGGTAACACAAGCTACTCAGAGTCCTCAGAATCTGAGTTCAAGTCTAAGGAAAGTAAAGAACATGGCCAGAAGTTGGCATTCGGGGCCAGCAAGGAGGTGCCTGGGCCTTTCCAGTAAACTGAGCAGCACTGCTATCCCAAAGTTCCTCCTGAGGTCAGCAGGACGTGTGCTGCTTGTTCAAGTGGCTTGAATTCCAGACCTACCTACCCACCACTTCCTCTTCAAGAGGGACATCAACCCCAGCTGTCCTTGGAGGAGAGAGAGGTCCTTTCCACTGTGTAGGAGCCTGAGAGCCACAGACTCCTTTGGAAAGAACTTCAGTATCAACGAAGGAGTCACTTACATGCGGATGTCATCTGCTTGGCCTCACCTCAGCCCTGCACCTGTGCCCCTTTCAGGAAATGGCCAATTTGTTTTATAAATACACTCAGAGCATTTGTGGATTCTGTGTATGTGTGTATTGTTTTTAAAACATCTCCATACATATAGGAACCGAATAAGGGCAGGCCTGGACTTCAGGGGGCTTATACTTCAGGCTGTTCACTAGGGGCGTGGCAGTCTGGTGAGGGCCACTGGGGAGCTCTCTGCCTCTATTTGCTGGGAGGATATGTCCCAAAGGTGACAGTACTGCATAGAGGTGAACTAGAGCCTGGCTGATGCTCAGAGTCGGAAGCATTCTGGGAGAGGAAAATGAGGGGGAAAATGAATGAGTGAGTGAATTAGTGAATGAGAAAGCGATTGAATGAGGAATAAATGAGGGAGTGACTGAGTGAATGAGTAAGTGAATTGGTGAGCGGATGAATGAGTGTGTGAATGAATGAACTAGTGACTGAGGAGATTCATGAATGAGTGGATGAGTGAGTGCACGGATAATGAAGTGCTTGAATGATGGAGGGAGGGAATGAGTACACAGGTGATTGAGTGGATAGGTAAGCAAACGATTGATTGAACAAACGAGTGAATGAATTAGTGAGTAAATGGAAGAACAGATGAATGTGTGAGTGAGCCAATGAATGAATAAGTGAATGAATGAGTGCATGAATGTATGAATGAATGAAGGGACATGATGGTGACCAGGCTGAGCCAAGCAAGTCTAGATATCCTACTGTTGAGAGAGAGAGAGAGAGAGAGAGAGAGAGAGAGAGAGAGAGCTGAAGTGTCAGCTGAGTAGCCCGTGGCAGCCCAGGACCATACACTTACCACACTCTAGTGCTCAGGAGTTCCAGCCTCATCAACAGTGGGCACATGGCAGGCAGGAGGATGAGTATCCCTAGGGTGGAGATGTCAGCCTTTTGGACCCAGACATTTGCTAGGAGGCTGGAGCTATACCTTTACAGGACAGGAGATAAACAGCTAGATCTTGTTGGATGCCTGGAGGCATCCTTGGACTCCGGCTAAGGTCCTTAGACCTGTGGTCACTGGACAGGTGTGGGGTGGAGCGGGGTGTAGTCAGACTGTCTAAAAGTCTCTGATGTGGCATGAGGGGAAGAACACAGTTCTCATGCCCGGGTCTTTGTCTCACCCAGCAAGGCAGCATGCTGGTGGCCAGTACAGTGTACATGGGAATCCAGACTCGTGTATCCAAGCCCAGCCTCCAAGAGTTCAATGTCCATTGCTTCTGTTCTATGCTGCCTCAGATATAAGAACCAGGCTCAGCTGGGTCTGGTTTGGGGCCCAGGGGCCTACAACTTTTCATGACCTGTTGGGAAACCTGCTTTCGGGAGTTCAGTTGTGTTCCTCAATGTTGCCATAAGGCGGTGTGAGCCTAGCTCTGCCCCTTTGTAGTGTTCTGAATCTGGGCTTTTGTTCTTGGGTGGACTGTCCCTTGAGGACAGGCCAAGGCAGAACTGGAGCCCTAGGGGGGACAGAAATTTCTCCGGGGTCTCAGGGCTGCAGGGTCCAAGAAAGAGTGTAAGGACAGCCCTTCAGTTATTCCCAAGCATTCCCACTGCACAGGCAAGCTTTGAGTTCAGCTGCAGAACTAAAGTCCTTGTCCTTTCACCTGTCTGCCTGCCCAGCCAGTCACAGCTTGGGCTGGTCCCTGAGTCACCTTCAGGTCCATTCAGCCTGAATGTAGTCTTCATGCTTAGGAAATTAGGGCTCACCAGAGATATATCCAGTTCTTATCAGGTCCCTAGGTCTCAAAGGGTTTTGTCCTAATGGCAGGTCTCACGATATCTCCTGGCGTTGGGTTTCAGAGAGACAAGTCCTGCCTGCATGATATTAGGAATTCCAGACTTCTAGGTGAGTCCTATAGCTGTCCTGCTTTCTTGGGCTATTTACTTCCAGTGGCTTGGGCTGCCTCAAAGCTTGAGTCCTATCTAAAACCAGTGCTGAGAGGGTCACCCCCTGGCTGAGACCCTGTGACCTTTTGTGCAGGCAGGAAGTGTAACCTGTGAACCCTGAGGCTGGCTGGCTCTACAGGTCTGCTCTGCTTCCTGGCTCACCCCACTGACCTCTTAGTGGCTGCCAGTTCCTAATCAGTGTCATTGCCCCTGGAGAGGATCAGGTATCCCAGAGAGCCGCCTCTTCCTCTCAGAGTGGGGCAGTGTGGTGGTGACTAATCCCCTGGCTCTTGGAATACCCGTAGACTGAGGTCCCCCTGTGCGTCATTTCTGCCTAGAACCATGGCAGGTGTGCTGGCAGGAAGCAATCAGATCTCATGCCCCTGGGTGGGAGTGGTTGCCTTCCCTACCTGCACACCCTGCCTACCACAGATTCAGCCAAATTGTGCAATGCATTGTTTCTGGAAAGAGCTGAAGAGTGGCGCAGGGGCCCATGCATACCTTGCATGTAGTCTCCACCCTGACCACAGGGGTAGCCCTTTGACCCCACACCCTGGACTTTACATGGAATGGGGCAAGAAAACTTTATTACTGAGATATCTGAATGAGACCCTATAGACCCAGGCTGGCCCTGGCTGCTCCAGAAGGCACAAAGTCTTGAGAAAGACTAACTTTAGGAGCTTTGTAGGAAGCACAAAGTTGAGTTCCACCCTCCATGTTTTGGGAGCTTCCAAAGTTGAGAACAGGAAAAACAGGGCAGGGAAGGCTTCTGACCCCTCACCCAGCACCCCAGTGCCTTGCTTTCACCCACAGTGGGAAGCCTGCTTTATCTGAGGCCAGAGCCAAGGTGCAGTTCCCTGTGACTGTCCCGGGAATGCAGAGTGTAAAGGGAAACCTCTAGCAGTCTGTGGGCAAGAGGGAGCAGCACAAAGCTGGGAGGGGAGGGTGGCCCACCAAGGGTCAGTGGTAAGAGGCCTCCTCAGGTCCCATTTGCCTAATTCCAGTTGACCTGTGGTCTTCCAAAGGTTGAGATAATGATGTCTTGGCACTTGAGGTTGTGCCAATGTCCAGAAGTGAGGAGAGACCCGCCCCCAAGTGCTTCTACAGGCAAGCAAAGAGTGCTTCTGTCCACAGTCCCAAGATAAGATGACCAGAGTGGACCCTAGAGCAGACATGTACACACATGCTCAGCCACCACACTGGCTGCCATAGTTTCCCTACCCCCACCTCAAAGAGACTGTTCAGATCCCCAACCCACCCTACAGGCCATACTTAGGTCTGCCCCTGGGGCCCCATTGCTGAGTGACGGATTTCTGGGACCTGATGGGAATGTCAGGTAGAGTATAGGCGTGCAAATGTCCCCAAGACAGATCACAGCTGACACAGCCAACTATAAATCCATCTTCCTTCAAGGCAAACAGCTTGGGGGTTCTGTGACACTCCAGGTCAGCTGTCAGCAAGCAGTGACCAAGCCCACTTTACTATTAGCAGGTCCCCAGGTCTGTGCCCAGTTCAGGTCCATCTGACATATCTTTCTGTAGTGCCTCAGCCCATTTCCCCATGTAAGAGTACAAAGGGTTCCACCCTTAGAGGTGCAAACTCCAGTGATCCTAGTTTGAGCAGGAGACACTGACGGGGACAGAAGTCTAAGGGACAGCCTCACTGAACCTACACTCTGGCTTCATTCTCATCTTCCCACCTAGAAGAGCCCTCAGAGGGGTCCAGAGAGCACCTCAGCTGTGCTTCAGAGTGGGGTAGCCCCTGAAGAGACCACACCTCTGACATTTCCCAGGGAAGAGCGACACCTTACCTCACATACTGAAACACAGCCCAAGGGGGTCAGATGTTTCTATCATTTCTGGAATCAGATTTCTTCCTGCACTCCAGCCAGTTTCACCAGGATAGGGGAAGCTTCCTCCCACACATCTTTGCTCAGCATGAAGCCGGGTCTGGGGTTTCCTCTGCAAGTAGATTGGTCTCCTACTGGCCCACTGCCCTAGAAGCTCCCACAGCCTGAGGCTGTGCCCATCTTCAGCAGGCAGCTCCTGAGCCTCAAGGTTCCACAAAAGATGGGCACCCCTGAGACTCCCTTTCTTGCTGCGAGCCCTGGGGGACCTGGAAAGAAGAAGCCCCAGTAGAGAAATCATGTACTCAGAATGTGCTCTGGGCCCTTGTTCCTGGTACCCTGCTAAAGTAGCCATGCTGGGACCAGAGCTTGCGTTAGCTTAGGAAGTCCCTGGCAGCTCTCTGAGACCCGGGATGCTGTCCTGAGATTGTATCCAAATGTCTCTGCAGTGATGATTGGGCTGATTTGCAAACTCTGCTTTTAGAGAGCTCAGTGCCATTGCTCCCTTGTTTGCATGTGGGGGTGTGTCCAGGCATACCTGCAGGTCCCAGACTGATGTGGATATAGACACTCAGGCAGTGTCTTGGCCTTGCAGGCAGGAACTCCCTCTACTCCTTAGACAGTAACACATTTACTCCTCTTCTTAAAGAGGGACATGGCAGTAGCTCTGAGCTGACCATCTCTGGGCCTCAGCTGGCAGCCCCTCTCCAGACACAGGAGTCTGAGCTGAATGGGCCAGAGACCCTGTGACTAAGTCATCCCTTTAGGTATCCATGGTATCCTTTGGGCTTTCTCACGGCAATGCTGGTGACAACTCAGCACATACTGGCCTCAGGCCCAGTTCTGACCCTTTTTTCCTCCTGGAGCATGGACTTACAGCTAATGCACTTCTGCCTTGTTCTTTTCTAAACGCTGTCCCTGTCCATGCTGTAGGATGGCATGAGAGGGCCCAGGCACAGGAAGCATCTGAATGTGGAGAGTTTTCTGACAAGAGACCAGGGCAGGCTAGACCTTCTATTTCCCAGTGCCCAGATCTGCATGGGGTGTGTCCTTTGGCTGGGTTGGGGCTTTCATAGCTCAGCCACCACAGGGGCCCTGAGACTGGGTGGTGTGAGCTTGTTGGGGAGAGGCCAGTGCAGCCTGGGTGTGAGTATACAGCTGGCTCTTGTACCAGACATCTCTCTCAGCACAGGGCCATGGGGGGAGGAGGTCACTGGTCTCTCAGCAAACCTCGCGGGTAGCAAGTCAACACTGGGGTTCCTGGAGGGGAGGGAAGGGCCTGTTTGTCCACTTGGCATCTCTGTTCAGGGACAGAACACTGAGGCCCTGCTCTTGTTTGCTCTCCCTCAATCTGTCTAATCCTGAGCAAACGTGGTAGCAGGGGGCTGCTTCTCACCTTTTCCTCTATACCAACCCCACACATGTCCCAATCTGCCCATCTGTGCCAGGGCTAGGTTGCACAATTGCTGAGGGCTACCACAAGGCCTTGGCCCTAGGTAGGTATGCTGGAAATGGGAAGGGGCCCTAGGCCATGGCTGGGATACCTGAAATACCTGCCCCATCTATTAGCTGTCTCAGCCTCCTGTGCCACCCACTCCTGGATTTCAGCCAGGAGACATAAACCCCCTACTCATCTGAAACCCTGCTTTCTCCCTGGCCCTTGTCTATACTTCACCTAGACATCCATGGCCAGGTGAGGTTTGTGGCTGCTCTTCTCTGCCCTTCTACCCACCTATACTTCAAATCACAGCAAGCACAGGGCATTCTGAGGGACTTTTTAATCTTGATAAGATTTTGAGTTTCCAGGTAAGTTGCAAAAATAGAACCAAGAGCTCCCACAGGCTCCCTCCCTGGGTTCACCCATGTGTGCTCTGTTACGTGCGTCACCTTTTGCTTACATACGCACTCTGTATGTACATATTCCTTCTTTCTGAACCACCAGAGTTTAAGAAGTGTGCCCCTTCACCTTGTGGACATGGGTGTGTTTCCCTGGAAATAGGGCGGGGGGTGGGGGGGGGAAGGTATGCACACCAGAGGAGTTCACTTGGTCACAATGCCACCATTGAGACCTGTTTGACTTCTACTGTGGCTCCATTTGTTGTTACAGATGTTCACTTCCATATTGACCCTCTCATCTTGTCTTCTGTACCCCACACTCCAACCTGCTCATCCATGCTTGGGCCACTACAAAGCCCCACCCCAACCCCCAGCCATTGTGGCTACATTTGTCACAGCTATTGACTCATGACCAGAGTCACAGAAGTAACTGCGTGCATGTGTGCATTCGTGTGTGCGTGCATGTGTGTTCAGTGCTACTTGGTTTCTTCTTTCATTTTGTTCAAGGCCAGAGGCATTGGATTCCCCACAGCTAGGATTATAGGTGGCTGTGAGCTTCTCTACATGGGTGAAACTAAACTCAGGGCCTCAGCAGGAACAGCAGGTGATCCTAACCACCGAGCCACCTCTCCAGCTCTGCTTCTGTGTTTCTTGACCTTGATCTTTTGAGGGGTGCAGGTTTTTGCATAGCATCCCAAGATCTGGCTCTCCACATTAGGGCACATGAGTTCAGCCTGCCCCTCTCTCCCCTTATACTCAAGGATGCCCCTACCCCAGCTGGACTGTCACAGGGACATTTGGCTCAGAGTTTCCTTACGGAGAAGTTGCTCCCCTGGGATTTGTAAGTGCCATGTGGGGATATGTGGGGACATAGATGTCCTTTCTAGCTCTGCCTGAGTAGCACCCGCCAGGATTTTCTGATCCCTTCCCCTTTTCTTATTGGCGTTCTTCTGCAGTAAAGAGTTTTTCTTTCATTCCATTTATTCATTTTGTATTTTTAAGAATTTCATACATATAAACAATGAAATATAATCATATCTACTGCTGATTTCCCCTCTACTCCCTTTATCATGTCCACAGTCTCATCTCTTTTTTTTTAATGACTACCTACTAAATCCAGTTAATGCTGTTCATGCCTGCATGGGTGTGGGGCATCCACTGGATCTTGGAAAGCTAACCAGTGGCCACACCCTTAAAGAAGAAGGAGTCTCCCTTCCTCAGGTGCCATCAACTGCCCATAGCTCTTCGCTAAGGGGTAAGGCCGAGAGAGCCCCTTCCCCATCTATGCCAGAATTTTGGCTGCCATGGTCTAGTGCCAATAACCATAGCCACTGTGAGTTCATGGGTATGGTAGCCATATTGTGTCAGAAGATGGCGTTTCGCAGCACTCCTTCCGTTCCTTTGGTGCTAATATTTTCCCTTCTCCTCTTCCACAACCTTCCCTGAGCCTTAGTCGTGGGTGGTGATATTAGAAGTCCTGTTCAGGGCTGAGCACTCAGTCTCTGGTCCTCGGCACTGTGACCAATGAGACATCTCTCTGTTGGCTGCTGTCTGCTGTAAAAGCAAAAGCAGAAGAGTTTGAATGTAAATGGCTTCCATACTCTCATAGGGAGTGACACTCTTAGGAGGTGTGGTTGTGTTGGAGTGAGTATGGCCTTGTTGGAGGAAGTGTGTCACTGTCGGGGCAGGCTCTGAGGTTTCCTATGCTCAGGATACCGACCAGTGTCTCGGTCACTTTCCTGCTGCTTGCAAGATGTAGGACTCTCAGCTACCTCTCCAGGACCTGTATGCCACCACGTCACCAGCATGCTGCCATGCTCCCCACCATGATTGTCCGGGCCCCAAAAATATGGATTATAAAGTTTTGGGGTCCAAGCCTCAGCTGTATTTCCAGGAGCCTGAATCTCTCATCGACTTTCAGATGCCGGCTAAATTACTAGCTTGGCCTCAATGGAGAATGTCTCCTAGTTTGCATAACAACAGACCTAGGCTGTGGGTGTGCCTGAACCTGTTCTGAGGGTTATGCTTATGTGCCTAGGGACTGTTTGGGGGTGCAGCTAGGGATAAAAGAATTTTTGGATATCAGCTTTGTACATGATAGTAGATGTCTTCTGCTGTCACCCCCACTGTTGGAAAGCTATTTATGAGGATGCTTGAATAAACCGGAGACTCCAGACTCCAGCATGGACTGTGAGCCCTCCTGAAATGACAAAATTCTCATCTTTATCGCCGTTTGTTGGGAGCTGCAGAGTACCGCGCCTAAAAGATGGTGCCGGTTTCTGCCTTCCGCCAGCCCAACGGCGAGTGCTCTTAGTGGTAAACAACTCCTTATTAGGAGAGAAGCCACGTATCCTTCTAAATCTGCTTGGTGACAACCTATCCTAGCGTGCCACCTGGGCGTAGATGATTGGTAAATCAAGGTTCCCAAATAAACTGTGAGAAGAAGATTCCTCGGTGTTGCGTCATTCTTGCTGGTCAAGGGTGGACACCAAGTGGTGGCCCGTACGGGGAACTCAGAACTTCTCACAGTCGGGGTGGTGCCTGTAAGTAAAGGTAAAAGGCCTCGCTCCTGCTTTAACTTGCAGAGTGAGAGTAAAGTGAATGGACCCTGCTATTATAGTGGTGATTTGGCTGCTCTTTAACATTGCAGTGTGGGCTTTTGTTTTTTGGTGGTGTTATCCAACTTGCACACCTCCGGAGCGCACAAACTAAAACAAAAGCACAATGGGATCGTCACAGTCACATCCAATTTTTCTGGCTCTTCAAGAGCTGCTTCATTCTAAAAAATTAAAGTTAACTAAAGCCACGTTGCAGAGGTTCCTGAATGAATGGGACGCCATTGCACCCTGGTTCTCGGTTTCGGGCAATCTCTCGGTGGCTAGTTGGGATAAGTTAGGGAAAGATCTGGATTTGCCTGGGAACAAGGAACATTGAAGCCATGTGTTCGGCCGGTATGGCGACTAATACGAAGCTGTCTAGAGGATAAAGAGGGAAATAAGAAAGCTATAGCGAATGGACAGCTGCCCTTGAAATGCTTCAAGAAGAAAGATCAGAACAGTCAGAAAGTGAGGCTGGAAAGGAAAAATGGAAAGGTAATAAGAAGTGAGTCTATCCTTCTCTGGGAGAGTTGAGGAAGGAGTTAAAAGAACCAGGAGAGGATTCAGAATCAGAG